TGTGTACAGAATGAGAGGAAAAAGAGTGGGAAGGAAGGTCAAGGAGAGTGAGGGAGAGATGGTAGATTTCTCCTTCACTATGAAATTTAGATTTTATTTTCATTCCAATGAGCAGGTAAATTTCGGGTTTTTAAGCAAAAGGTGGGTGTGGTGGGATAATATGTAATCTGATTTGCATTTTATAAAGATCATTCTTGTCTCTAGGAGGAGAAAGGACACTTGTCTTACCCAATGAAGCAATCTGCTGTAAGAGTTGATTTCTTTATTAGATTGGTTCATGATTAGTTAACACCAGGTTTGTGTAAATAGTAGGTCAATGTAGAGAAATGTCCTAAAAAGGCTCTTTTATATGCTATCTTATATGACCTTTATTTCCACAGAAACACCTTTAGTTTAAAAGGAGGCCAGGTGGTTGGATTTAGTGCCTCTGATTTTATCTCTTTTGTACATCAGGCTTCCTCTCCATTTTTTTCCTTTCACACTTTCTTATGTAGACCAGTTAAATTTATTTTTAGTTTTTAATGGGGAATTGATTTTTTCTTATGGGATAATAGTTTTTAAATTGTTGCTTGATTACAATTAAATGTATGTTTTCACATTGGAGGAAATGGCAGGGGTTTAAGTCATTCAGAAGTCTAAATTTCAGTGAATATAACTGAAACATGTAACACAGAGGGGAAAACCGGGAGAAAGTCTGGGAGATTTAATTGTCAGTCCTCCACTTTGACAACTTTTCACTTCATCCTTCACTGCCAAGGTTACCATTTCTCAATTATCCTGTTTCCCTTTGTGTTTCTTGCAAGCTGCGGCTGCTTGGGGAGCAATTTCAAGGCTTCATCTTCTGTGTGTATTTATCTCTTAGCTTTCAAAAGTTTCTTTTCACTCAATTTTTGTGATTCCAAAATTCGCTTAAATTTTGCTGTTTTTACAGACGAAAGTGACAGTTCTAAACTGTGTGGTAGAAAATTTTAAGCTGAGACCTGGCAGTTAGCAAATAGAAAAAGAAGGAATGCTTCTTCCTTCTGTGTTATCATACAAGGTCAAGAAGATATGTACCATTCAGCTTTTTCTTTTGTTTTTCCCCTTTGATATTTCCCCTTTGTCAAAAATGCTTGTGATAAAGCATTACATTTCCCTTTGTTCAAGCTTGATTGTTGTTTTAAAATCAGAAGAAACCCTTCCAAATGGAATTCCTCCTTTCTTTTCCTTCTTTTCAGTTTGACATGTCTTGTCCCACTTCTCTCTCCTTTCTTTCTTCCTGTTTGTCCTCTTCTAATTTTATCCTGAAGAGATTATACTTACTTGCATCCTCCTCATATTGACAAAAGCACAATATATTTAGTTGTAAGGTACCACCAACATTCAACAAATACTCATTTACCATTTATTAAGCTGGTTCTTGGATCAGGCCATGTGTATTCACAAATGTATGAGGCATAGTCCCTGTCTTTGGGAATCTTATCTGGGAGTGGGTGGAGATAAGCAGACAGAGTGTAATACTGTGTGGCTGGTGAGTGGCTGTTGTGCATAAAGGGCTCTCAACATGGTCTTGAACAGATGCTGTAGGAGAAATTCTGACCTGCTCCATGACCAGTGTATAGAGTTGGGCATTTTGAAGAATGAGTGGGGATGGGGTGAATGACTGATATGTTTCAGGTGACAAGGAGGTAAGATTTAGCTGGAAGTCAATGAGAACATTTTATAGAGTTAAATGTAAACTATGTGTGTTTACACATATAGATGGATGGGGAGAAAAGGCATAAAATAAGATTAGAGACACAAGTACGAGTCAAAGCTTTTGTTTGTTTTGTTTTGTTTTTTGAAACACTTCTACAGAATTTTAATGCTCTGCTAAGGGTTATGGCTTTTTTTTTTCTTTCTGAGAATAGAAGAGAATCACATGCAGGTTTTATGTAAGATATCTCATGATCACTGTTGTCTATCTGGCTATAGCTTGGAGAATGCATTATATTCAGTTAATGGTATTTGTCAGACACTAAATATTGCAGATATAGTTGTGAAAAAGTATACATGCTTGGCCTTCTGATTCAGAGAAGGGTACAGTATGGAAGAAGTCAGGTTAGGGTACTGTGGCCAATGAGAAATTTTGGTGGTCAGAATTGCAGAATGGATGGATATAAGCATATACATGTAAGAGATATTCAGGATGTAGTATTGATAAATCATGTGATTGACTAGACAGGGGTGGGCATGGTATGATAGGGAGAAAGTAGCATTGATATAGACTTCCAAATGCTGACTGCATTCTCCTTTCCTGTCTTTACTTTGACAGTCTGGTGACTTTGTGGGTGTTTCATTTCCATATGTCTAGTTATCAGTTTGACCAGCTGTCTGTTCTGTATCCCATTTGGTGGATGCACAATAGTATGGAAAAAAAATGGGCCATTGACCTTGTAACAGAAGCCATTTACTATGGGAAAGCTATTATCAAGAATTATGCTAAGCAGCTCTTCCTGTCAGATGAGTTTTGCTCTTCATTCTGCTATATGATATGCAGTAAAATAAAGTTGTGGGGTTGGATGTAAAAGCGGCAACATGATGGCTGAAAAATTGCAAAAAAGGGAGAATTTTAAAACAAAATTAATAGGGTACTGAGAAGAAATAAATGCAACAAAATGGGAGATTTAAAGTGGTATTTGCTTTACTAAGAGGGAGTATTGACCAGATTATTTTATAGCCAAATATTTCTCTGAGGAATATCCTATGTTACTCTGTGGGAAAGATATCTGGAAAATATTTCGGAGATGGCATATTTACCAATTTTCCTCTTAAAATTTGGATTAAATTTATTGAACCCAGAATTTTACAAACATATTTCTCTTTGCTTTTCACTAATCCTGTATTAATATTCTATAGAACTGGTGCATCACAGAACACATTTAAGAAAGTGCCAGTCTAACTAAATAATGATCATAATAACAGCTAACCTTTATTGACCATTTACTACCTACCATGTAGTGTCAGACTTTACATGGATCTTTTTCATTTAGCCTTCAAACCAGCCACACGATGATGTAGATATTATTATTATTATTATATTCATCTTAATGACAATGAAAATACTGAATTATTAGGTAATTTGTTTAAAGTCGTATAGTCAGTTAGCAAGAAGCCTGATTTTAAATCCAAAGAGTCTAATTTAAAAGCTCAATTACCTATCTGTAATTATCTTTGACATGTCACAATACTAATGTCAATGAAAATTATGCAGCCATGAGTGCTACCGAAACTCCCTTTGATCATGTCACAAATGGGATGAGCCTCCCAAGCCCTGATGGACCAAACACAACCACATGACTGAACATTCTCTCGTATCACAATCAACGCACTGTCAGCACACAACAGTCAATGGACCAGGCATTTCACCCATATCATCCTGCATTACAGTAGAAGAAACCAAAGTAGGGAATCCAAAAACTTATAGGAGAAACTGAATCAGAGTTTCCAAGAAAGGTAAAATTGTGTGAAGTCCACATAATTAGAAACTGGTAGACCTGGACTCAAATCCAAAAGTATGAAGTAATATGCACAACTTCTTCAAGCAAAGAAATGTTAATATACATCTATATTAAAATATGCAATATATTAATTTATTTTTCATGCATTTAGCCATGTAAAAGACTTCTCTGAATTGTACACCCAGCATTGCTACCACTGGATCATATTTCTGGAGATGGAATATTTTGGAAGTGAAAGCATAAGGAAAAGTTGACTTATAAATTTCAGGAAGATTTGGGCCAGGTTGGGAAGTGACCCGGGAAGTTGCATTAGAATCAGAACTGACAAGAATCTGTAGGTCAAGCAAAAATGGAGTTTGATACAGGATCTGAATCTGAAAGGCACTGGGTGACAGATATATATTTTATCTCCTTCATGAATACCTGAATATAGATTCTATTTCATATTAGTTTTGTTTTCCCCTGGGCAATATAGTGGTTTATATTAGGATTTTAAAATTATATCATTCTAGGTTTAAATTTTTGTTCTATCTTTAAATATGACCTCAAGAAAAATTTCCCACTTCACCAGCTACAAAGTGGGCGTGGACATACCTACCTTCAAATTTATTGTGAAGAACAAAAGAAATAATGAAGAAAATGCTGAAGAAAGTAGGTGCCAAAAGTGTATTATATGTAGCCATCATTTTGTTATAACTTTTTTGCTTTCCTTTGTTTTATGGGCTCAAGTTGAAAAATGTTGATTTGCCTTTTTTCATTCTGCTATTGTATTTTTCTTCTAACTTTTGATAAAGTACAGTATGGTGGATTTTAACAACATTATGACTCCAGTAGCAGAGGGTTGCACATTAGGTGAGTGAGATTAGCTTGCTGTAAGGAAGCTATTTTACTAGATGATTTTTAAAAGTCCATTACAAATGATAAATTTGGAGTGACTCTATTCTGTGCAAGAATTCATCTAAGCAGTTCTACCTAAACTGTTAATCCTAATCATTAGATGTGACATTGAAGAAAGACTCTTGAAAAATGGGCAAAATAATCAATCATTTATTTAAAGATTATTCAAATGAATATGTCTTAGATTTTGGTAATTAGTTAAATCTATGTTTATATGAGAAGAATGGCAATGTCTCCAAATTGATTTAGGGTATGATTAAATGGATAAGTACTGACTGAGGCAGGACTTTGCTTGACTGTTGATTCATATCAAGGCACTTTGTTTGAAAAACTTATTTCTGTTCATAGTTTAAAGTTTATAAACAGCCAGGCATGGTGTCTCAGGCCAGCAGTTGGGAGGCTGAGGCAGGATTGTGAGTTTAAGGCCAGTCTGAGGTACATAGCAAGATCCAGTCTTGAACAACAACAAAACTGAGAATAGTTTATATACAGTGAGCAGCATTTTAAGTGCAAAAGAGTAGATAAATGTGTTAAGGTGTTGTGGAAAACTCAAATGTAGTACAATTAAATGGAAAAGCAATGAGTTCACATATTTAGGATTTTTATTTTTTTTTTATTTGCAGGATGAGTAAGAGATACTTACAGAAAGCAACAAAAGGAAAACTGTTAATAATAATATTTATTGTAACCTTGTGGGGGAAAGTTGTATCCAGTGCAAACCATCATAAAGGTAAGCCCTCTGTTTTCTTTCTTGGCTGTCTCTGGAAGATGACTCCCCTTAACACAAACTGTCACATTTTGTCTTCACTGGACTTTATTAGGTATGGATTTCCTCTCCCCCCAGCCATTCTTTTAAGTAAAAATTCAGAGAATTATCCTTAAGATGATTTTGATAGGGGGAACATGATATTTCTGGGATTACTTCTATTTCTGCAAATATTGTTCAGAGTATAAAATTTTAACCATATCTTTCCTCCCATTTAAGTTAGTGATGTTAAAATGCTGGTGTAATAAGGAGGAATTTCAGATTGCAGTCATCCTTGTAAAGAAAGTATTTTTAATGATATTTATCTTCATAATATGTACACAGTGCAAGTAAGTTTTTTTTTATATTCTTTTTGTGGGCCATGTTTCTTTCTGCCAGAGTTCCTCTCTGAATACCAGTGATATTCAACAGGCTCAATTCTGTCAATTCACAAGTGAGGACAGCTATTATGCCCTTTCTGTCTGCTTTCCTGGCCATTAGACTCAGTATAATGAATGACTGCCTTTTCCAAATGAGTTAAAATAGGCCTATTTCTGAACTGTACCTACCATAATCAAGTATTCATAACCTGAGAAGTCAATTTAGATTTTTCTGTGAAAGATGGCTTTACCATTGAGTTCTCAGTCCACTACAAATTTGAAAAGCCAGCAATTTACTTTCTTATTTTGTTTTTCAGTGAAGTGTGAATTAAAACAGATTTGAATTCTACAACATTTAAATTACATGTGCATCTAATTAGCATTACATGGAACATTAACACCAGGGAGAAGAAAGAAGTGATATGAGGGAATGAAGCCTATAAAACAAACTTCCATCCCTCTCAAAAAATAAAGTTTTATGAAGAGTTTATTTGTATTTTATAATCTTGTTTTTGACCCAAAATGTGTGCGTAAATATATATATGTTTCTTTTTTACTTTAATACAGCATAATGATCTGTAAGTCAAACTTTCAGTTCTCTCTCTGTCTTTTTTTTGGGGGGGGGATGATAGTACTGGAGTTTGAACTCAGGGCTTTGTGGTTGCTAGGAAGGTGCTCTACCACTTGAACCATGTTTATGGTCCTAAATTAAAAGATTTTGAATGGGACATTTCCTGTTCCCCAAATTGTCAACAATGAACCTGACGTAAGGTCAAAGTAGTGTTAACTACTTACTTTTCAAAGAGCTGCAAGCTGTTGTGCCCAGGCCCTGTTTTAGGCTTAACAAGAGAACCCACACCATCCCTACTGTCCATTATGATCATCCCGGTGCCCATTCCTAACCTATAAAAGAAGAATTGAGACAAGCAGGGGCATGATAGTTGGGCACAACAATGTTTTCCGTAAAGATGCTTTTTCATCTCCAAAGTTGAGTGATGGGATCTATAAGAGAATCACTCATTAAGACTGCCCACAGCATATATTGCATATCGTTATTAAAGCCACTTTTAATAATCTTTAAGTTGTGTTACATTTTATGTTACTTCCCAAACTAAGATCTCTTCTTACTCTTGTCAAGAAAATACTTTCTGGACTAGAGGTTATACATTGTGTCAGAAAACTTAAACTGACAACTTTAAGATGTCATATGAGAGAGAGAGTTTTGGGTTGTTTGGTGTTCCATTTCCACCCTGCACTGATATTTTAGGTAAAGATTTTATGAAAGATTTATTTCCTCCCTCCTTCCATTCCTTTCTCCCTTCTTTCCTTCCTTTCCTCTATTCCTTCCACACATTTCATATAAAATTATTTTTGTTTTTGAGCTGTCTTACAAACAAAATAGTAAGGGTAATATGTATGCATGTGTAGTATATGTTCACAAAATGAACACTGGTATACTCACCAACCACTTGAGAAATATAGCATTTCTAATATACTTGAAACTGGCTGTGTTTTCATTCTGATTTCATTCCTTAACCTTCTTTCCTAGGATATCATCATTAAAATTCATTTGATTTTATCAGCAATTTCACCATATAAATGTGGATATACATCTCCAAATAACATTTTCCTTACTTTTGGTTGCTCTTGACTTACATGAATAGTGTTATGCCATATTTTTCTACAACTTGCTATTTTGCCCAATGATATTATAGTTGATGGATAGAATGTAGTAATGGCATGTTAATTTTTTTTGCCATTGATCCATATTTTATTATATTAACACAAATTTAGTACTAATTTTGTCATACTGAATTAATTTGGTATTCTATTTTCTTGCTATTCTGAACAATGATTCTTTAGTAAATGTGTGCAAGGTTTTCTTAAGGCAACATTCCCAGAAGCAAAATTGCTGGATCACAGGGCATGCATGTGTTCAATTTTACCAGATAACACCAAATGATTTTCCAATGAGAAAGCACTAATAAAGTTGTTCTTGATAGTCATGACTCCTCTTTCAGCCTGAGTGTTGCTCACTTGTGCCCTTGTCTCTTCTTTTTTTGATTAGTTTCATCAGTTGGTTTAATTTATTAGTGTTCAAATGACCAATAGTGCTTTTTTGATTCTTTTGTTTATATCTTTCTGTATTTCATCACTTTCTGCTCTTATCTTTATCATTTCATCAATTTAATTATGCTTTTATTTGTGACAAACACTTAGCTATGCTTACTATATGCCAGGCACTTGGGGTAGAGAACTAAACTGGGTTTATGGCCCTGGTCCTGAGACTTCCTTCACATGCTATAAGCTCAGGTCTAGAGTCATTTGCATAGCTAATTGCTCAAATCAAGAAAAATAAAACTCCTCCTATTTCCTCAAGAGTGCAAAATACTTGCAGATGCTTCACATCCCTCCATGAAGGGATTAAGGTCTTAAGGTGCCAGGAAGATTGGGGTGCTTTCTTCCAAGGCATGAGGTCAAGACCTGGAGACATCTGGAGTGTATGTAGCCCTGGGAAGGATACATATATTCTAAATGGTTAGGGTGACAGCCTAGGATCCTTTTCATCCCTTCTCAAAGTAGCAAAAAATTTTTCTCTCTTCCCGGAAATCAGGAAGGAAATGGATGTTTCTATCTTGTATGTTAATGGAAATATCTGTTGTTCTCTGTCACTCACTTATGCAGTGTTCCACTGTTCACGTAGGACATTAGTCCTAGTTTTCATTAGGATAAAGCATAGGGCAAGCCAGGCTGATTCACTTACTATTTATTGTGAAGTAACTAATAAGAAATCAGTTTCTGATGCATAACTCCTTGACAGTCATTAAAGATAAAAAATAAATTTGGTTTTTTTTTTTTTCATTTTTCTTTTATTATTCATATGTGCATACAAGGCTTGTTATTCTCCCCCTGCCCCCACCCCCTTACACCACTCACACCTCCCACTCCCCCTCAATACCACCAGAAACTATTTCTGCCTTATCTTAATTTTGTTGTAGAGAGAGTATAAGCAATAATGGAAAGGAACAAGGGGTTTTGCTGGTTGAGATAAGGATAGCTATACAGGGCATTGACTCACATTGATTTCCTGTGCGTGGGTATTACCTTCTAGGTTAATTCTTTTTGATCTAACCTTTTCTCTAGTTCCTGGTCCCCTTTTCCTAAAAAAAAAAAAAATAAATTTGAAACCCAATAGCACTAAAGAGCATTACAGATATCAACTCATTTAGTTTTCACAATAATTGGTGAGATAGGTACTATTTTATAATTGCTTTTTTGCCATATTAATCCTGTGTCCCCTTCAGTCTGTTCTGCTCTTTTATTCACAGATTGGGTTTTAGTTTCAATTATTATATGCTACTAAAAGTCTTGTTTTTGCTTGCTAATTAGCTTGCTTTGATATCTTTTTGTTCTCATTCAGGCTTTCAGCCTCTTGTTTTCAGATTATATATATTTTTCTAATGATTGTATTTTATGACATCTTTGTGTGTTCTTCCAGTGACTCAGTTATGATATTTATTCTAGAGCTTTGTGATTGTTTTTAATTTTTTGTGAGCTTATTGAAATCATATTTAGGCCTGTGATGAGGATGCACTCTTCCAGAGATGATTTGCATATGCCATGTGTCTTCTGTAGGGATCCCTAGAAGCAGAGCCAAGTCAGGAATTCTTGTTCATGTGATTAGTTAAACAAGTGCTCTCAGGAGGAGAGCAAGCAAAGCAAAAAAAAGCAGGAGTTAAAAATTAAGCACAAATAGCCTCAGCTGGAGAATACCCTAGTTTGGTCTCAAGGGGAACCTCTTGCTTCACAGAGGTTGTTCTCCTTGAGGCCAGATAGATGGGGCCTTTTCTACTCTGTGTCCATTGGTCTATTGGTCTATTCTCTGTGGTAGAGAGTAGCTTCCTTAGGAAACTGTTTCCTCTTTAGCTGAAGATAAATCTCCCAAGAAGCGGTGGCTGTGAACTGAAGTCAGGTAACTTTAATAGCAGGTGGAGGAAAGGTACATGTGGTAAGAGGATCTTGGCAGTGTACCAACAGGTAATTCCACTGCAGTCCACTCCTCATAGCCCTTACATCCAACTGCTTCCCACTTATGACCACTCCATCTAGTTGGATCACTCCAAAGGTTACTCAAAAATTGTGTTGGTTACAGTTTCCAAGAAAACTTACTTGAGGAGTAGTGCGTTGGTACTACCATTACTGGTACTTATTATCTGTCCACCATGTGCCCTCTTCCTCTTAGTCATTCTAGTTTTCCCTTACATTCTGCTAGCATGTCTATTAGTCTAGGAAGCTTGCCTGATGTTTTACTGAGAGTTCTCGGCCCAGGGTTGGCATGCTTCCCATGCTATTATTTTATTTATATACTGATAGTTATAACTGGTCATGAGATGACCCAGTGGATCATCTGAGTGCTTATATATTCCTTCCTGTCTCCAGAACATGGCAGCTGCCCTATTCCTCATGATGGCCAGTTTCTTTACACCAATGACATTTAACTCCTTTTTTTTTTTTGCTGGTCCTTAGGTTTGAGGAATCTGGATTGATCTGGTAGAGACTGAAGCTTTTTGTTTAGTAAGACTCTTACTGTTTCTCTTGGTAAAA